TACCATGCCCCAAGAGCCTCAGCTATTGTTCTTGGTTCTTTTCCTGTCCAAATGTCTCCTTGTTTATCCATAAGAGATACTGTGCTAGTACAAAATTACAGACTTACTGGATTGAGTGGTATTGAATCACTAAAGTCTTTTGCTACGCCTCCTTCAGCAGCTGCTTCAGCTTCCGTGATGTTACTCTCCTGCTTCTGATGTGTTTTGTGCTTCATTTTACAGCAATCCTTTTGTCTCTTTTGCAGGTGTTCACAGATGAAACAAGGCTCACCTTTGCTTGTTTACTTTCTTAATATAGATCTTAGAGTTATTCATTTTCAAAAAATGAAACACCCAAGCCATTAGCACAGTGATGTTTCTCACAGGACAGCATAAAACGGGATCAGAATGCGTTTGTGCAAGTCCAGCTTCTCGAAACTAGAGCTCTAGTACCACTTGAAATTGCTGTGATAATGTCTTTTCTATCAGCTGATTGCTGTTATCTTAGAGCTGTCTGGCATTTTGTTGCTTAAATGTCACTTTTTAGTCTTGCTGTACAGCAAGCATGGCTGCGTTTGATGTCAGCTCCTTCACACTCTGGTATTACATGTGTGAACCTCAGTCTGCCGAAGGCCACATCCAGATTACATGTGGCTGGATGTTGCTCTTGCTTCCTGCACTGGGTATGTGTACTCCTGGTGGGTGACAAGAGTCCTGCCTGCTTCCCATCGCAGGCCTAACACTAGCAGATACAGTAATCAGATCACAAGTGTAATCCCCAGGTGGGATATAGGAATAATCCTTTCACCTGTAAGAGGGACTAGACTACAGGTCATGTTGCCATGGCAGAGATTTAATTCACTGTACTTACAGGGGACCTCAGTAATCAATTTCCCAAATCAGAAGCAGGCCCTTGGATTAGATGACAACTCTCTCATGGAGTGAGCAGAGCTTGTAAGAAGCCCTTCTTGCAGTTCTGTTGTACTGTGGCTCAGATCTTACCTTGCCTTTCTAGAAAGTGAAAAAAGGGAAAACAGAGAAATGATAACCTCCATTGCACAGGCGGCTGTATGCACTCATTCCTGCCAGCTAGCTTGCCTCTCATTTGTACATCTAACTGCAAGGCATACGCTGCGGCATCTAACCACTAAACCCCCAAAAGAGAAACTCTGTTCCATCCCAGACAGACAGACAGACACAACAGCAACACCTATACCACTTCCCTGCTTGGGCAGGCTTGAAACCTCTGCAGGCTGTTTCAGCCTTGGGGGTTCAATGGGAACCAGGGCAAGTGTGGGAGGAGAGCTGGGCTCTCAGCCCAGCCCAGCCCAAGCACCAAGCTTGCACCCCCATCCCCTGGAGGTTTGGCTGACCTATCATTTGCATGTAAGATTTGCCTTTGTTTTCAAAGCTCAGCTCAGAGCAACTCTTTTGCACCCTCGGACCAAAGCACAAAGATGTTGTGAAACACAGCTAACACCCACTTCCAAATAACCCCTTTGAAAGGGCTTTTATTACTCCCTGGCCTTTACTTCAAGACTTCTGAGATCTGATTTGCCTGATCAAACACTATTCCCTGCTCCTAAAGAGGGAACAGTCAGAAAGAGTTTCTGACTGAGAACTTAAGTAGTTAGTTGTGTATTTATAGCCTGGGAGGAACCCTCTTAACTGAGCTGTGGTTATATGTAGGTAGTTGCTTTGGTGGTTTCTGAAGAGTAAAGCAGTGCTTTCCAGTGCAAATGAGTGTTTCTCTCTTACACAGTCTGCTCCTGTTACTTGCAGTAAACAGGATCTTGACAGGTGAGAATTGCTCTGGATCTAATCCAGTAGACTGCTTTACCTTTAACTATGCAAATACTCCTGCTGAGTTCAATATGTGCATGTAAGACAAAAACATGCTTTGCTGAATCATGACCAGAATGCACAAAACCTGCAGGATCACATCACACAGTGCTTATTTCCATTGTCCTCACTACTCATACTGATATTTATGGGAACGTCACTTTTAAGGCTATTACAGGCTGCAAAGTACAACAATTTAGTCTAAGAAAACAAGCGATCTGAAATGTCAAACTGTATATTCCGTGTTTGCCTATTAGGGAACACACACACAGAACAGGAAGCCCAGACAGAATATTGGTTTTACATTCAGCTGGATACTGTTCTTTCTTCTTCTGGTACTCACAACTTTAAAACTGCAAAAAAATGCCATAGTGGGTAGGAACCTGCCCAGCCTCCTTTAGACTCTTCCACTTCAGACTTTTCCAGTACAGTAGTGACAGAAATGGTCAGTGACCCAAAGAGAAAAGGATGTTAAGATTCTATGAAAGACATAGGGCGAAAGACAAGACCTTCACCAGGCTCACACATCACCTCCTCTGCAGCTGGAATAAGCGCATTCCCCACAAACAGCCTATCTCTGAATCTGTGAGACTGACTCAATCCCCATAGCTACAGTCCAGGATGGGCTTTAATCTGTAGTACTTTTCATGGCTCAGCTTGGAAGGCAAAAAGCATGATTACAACTACCTCAGTGATGTGTTTTCACTTGTGCAACTATTTGCAGAGCCATTTCTATTAGCATAAGCCCTGCTTGTGGTCTTCTGTGTGTCTCGGTGGAAGCCAGGATATAGTTTCCTATTCAGCTGTAGGGTAACAGCAGCCTTCAGAGATTCTGCTGTTAGTCTAGTAAATAGGAGAGATTTGTTTGGCGCGGGCTGTCCCCCCATTTTCTGATACCTTTACCATCCCTTACATGCTGTGAGGGCCTTTGCTGCTTGTACACTGCCTTTTCCTTCTCAATTCCAGGTTTTTGCAGGAGTGCAGAAGAGAAATCATCAGTTGGGGCAGGTAGGAAAAGACTGAGCAAGATTTTAGGCAGGAAAGAGAGGAAGTGCAAGTAGAGGAGGGATAAATGGGACTTTTCATCGATGCAGCTCTTGCAGAGCCTTAAACCCCCCCCACAGCCCAGCCTACTCTGTCTTTAGAATTTACTTCCAGCTAGAAGTAGCTTGACTGAATCATGCATTTAACAAGGATGTCTGGCTCCACTCAAATTGGGCTGCCACAGAGACAGGCTCCTGTCCTGAGTGAGGTGGCCATCATGAGTCCTAAGTGGAATAGCACTTATACTGGAGAAGAGGCTTTAGAGGCCTTCCAGTCTCTCAGCAAGACAAACTGGGGAAAGATGCCCTTAGCAAAGGGAACGCTTCACATTTCCATCCGCCAGTACCTTACATCCCCTGTTCTTCCCTTTACCCTTCTTCCCCAGTTAAAGATGATCTAGGGATTTTGGCAAGAGAGAACAAACTGGTAAATGAGCTTAACTTACCATGGGAACACTCAAGCCTTTTTTTCTGCTCACTTACTGAAACATGATTGGGGTTTCAGTGAATTCATTTATCTTGCTTTTGCAATGACTTGGCACCTCAGCTGCCAATTTTCTCTTTCATATTTTCCTGGGCATGGGAACAGTTTGCTAGTGAGAAAGAAAAGCCAAAGCTACTTGGTGAAGCAGCCTGAAGTATCTTGGGATTGGTGGGAAGAGACAGGAATTAAGATGTAATGAAGCAGCGAGATGCAACAGGGTACGTGCTGCTTGGTTCCAGGCATGCTTGCTTTCAGCCAAGAACTGCATGCTAGCCAGCCAGGAAATTAACTTTTTAAAACCCTGCTGCTTCTAGGAGATAATCAACAAGATGATACCTCGAAGCATTCATACCAGTTAATACTTCATAGCAGTTCTCACTTCCTCACTAACTAAACAAATTGTACTCTGTGGAAAAGAGGATTTCATACCACCTACTTTAGACAGTTTTCCTCTCTGAATGAAGTAAATAGGTGGGTATTTATTTCCTTTCAATACTTTATACTGATGGAATCACCCAGCACAGGCTGTAGCACGTGAAAGACCTTGAGCACTGACCACTGAAGTTTGCTTCCAATAGGCTTACCAAGATGGAAGTATTCATGGTTATTTAGGAGCTGCTTAAATGGAATCAGTAGCATTTCCTTCTGGTGTCCTACACTAATGTTAGCCCAAGCAACAGTCAACTAAACAGACAGAGGCTAGAGGAATCACATGTTTAATATCTCAGAAGCTAACAGTACTGATAGCAGAGCAGCTGGCCATTTGCTCTGATGGATAGGGTGAATGTCAGGTTTGCTTAACTGTAATAGAAGTCATGGGAATGACTGCTGCCAGGACACACTTACTACATCAGATCCTCAGGGGGCTGCGGTAGAGGAACACACTCTGTATCACATTCATCTTTAGACACAGGAATTACTTTCAGTTGATCCCCCGCAGTCCTCAAAACATCCTCTCATATCTCACTGACTTTATTAAGATCTGGAAATTCTGCTGTATTTCCTGAAAAACCTAAAATTCAACCTTCGGATGCAGAAATGCTTCTCTTGAGGTCTGAGGTACAGCAGGGTTGAACTTAGGCTCCGAAAGCATTTGTTAGTGGTGGAGTGTGCAGAAAACTATTCTGCATTTCAGTTTCTATCTATAAAACAGAGATGCTGGCTCTTCTCTGTAGCATAAGAATATTACATCTGTATATGCACTTTGACACCTGGATGCTGCAGTGAAAGAGACCAAACACAGTCCTTGGTGTATATAAAACCATAGGACTTGCTGCATGCATGGACTGCAACCTGTCCTTTTTACCCAGTCTCAATAGCAGCTCCACGCCTGGTTCTGAACCATCTCAGTCACTTTCAGATTTCAGACACAGGCCCCGTTTCTAGTCATGAAGTCATATTTTCATAGCACTTTATATGAAAGTACTATAAACAAAGCAGGAAACATGCAAGGCTTCCCCTGAGCAGCTTGCCTATCTGCTGTAGGCAGGCAATGCTCAAAGCTCATACCAGCTTGCCCCTTTTTCTCCTTGCTGTGGTGAAACATGGGACGTATTAGTCTTCAACTGAATATGAATTCGCTTGCTCCTACCTCCCCTTCCAAGTGCTTTACTACTTAATGTGCATACAAAATGACAGCAAATTGATCTCACCTGAATTGGAAATGTCTGCATTAGCCTTGCGTTGTTAAAAATCCAAGGTTTCGGTAACACCTTTTATGACCTCAAATGTAGTCTGAGACTCTGCATTTCAGTCTGCAGGGAGCCTTCACCTTTTTCCTTCTATACCGCTAGGAGTCTGTGCTTCATTTCCAGATCTGAGGGGAAAAGACATTAAAGTTTCTATTTATAATATGAAATACTGGCATTTCTTTATAAAAACAACTGCAATATTGATACCTTTTATGTTCTGAGGATGAGGGGCATTTAAACTTCTGAAACTCTTGATGGGCGCCTGCATTTGTCCTGATTTTATGCAAGAAGCTCATGTTCTGTTTGGTTTTGTGGAAGAAATGTGAAGCCTGGTAACCCTTCCATAGTTTTACATGCCATAACAAGCCTTCTTGTTGCCTTTAGAGTTCACTTAATTACGATCAGCTAAGCTTTCGGTCTGCCTGCCTCTGAAGCAGAGCACACTCTCAGCTAAAACTGAATGTGCCTCCTTCAGGCCGCTGCTTGTGGCTGGTAGTCCTGCTGAGTGAACCTCCAGCTAGCTCAGAAAACAATAATGGGTTTCAAGAACTTTTATCCTTTCCATAGACATTTTGCAGTGTTGAACAGGTTCCCACCTGCCATGCACTGCTCTTTCGTTCACAAGAGCATCGTTAGGCCACGTAGGACTTATGCAGTGCAATAGAGGAAGCCAAACACCAGAAATAACCAAAGCAAATGGTTTACGAGTTACCAGTGGGATGCAGATTCTTTCTCATCCCCTAGGAAAAGAAATAGTGGCTTTCTTTTCCCTCTCCTTTTCTTGCAGGCTGTTTGCAAGAGAAAACCCACAGTTTTATGGGTCACAGGCAATGTTTATCAGCTCTTGGAACATCAAATATTGGCTGTCTTCAGACACAGCACTTCAGCAATTAAAAACTTCAATCAGCAGTTCAAAAGGCAGTGTGGCATCACAAGCAACTTCTACTGTGTGACTGCATACTGTATCCTAGCTGCTGTGACAGGCCATACCTTTTCTGGGAAGCCACTTGAGAGCTGGGGTGAATGAAGGCATTTTACCCCGTCTGAATTTTTGCCCCAGATGTCTTCAAACTTTCCTCTCTGTTTTGGTTTTCGGTGATGTGTTTTCGTTGTTGTTGATATGGTTTGGTTTGGTTGTGTTTCTTCTAATAGCTAGAATAGAACACATTCCATTTTAAACCGTGAGAGTCCAGGAGCTGGGTGGGATTCTTGGGCTAAATCTGAACCCCTATACTTTGAGCCATTCTGGCAGCAAGGCAATTCCTATGAACTTCAAGTACTCACCAAGTATATTGTTTCTACAGCATTGATTCAGTCCTATTATAACAGCTAGAATAATAGTTACAAAATACTTAACAGATTTCACGTGTGTGAGCTTTTAATTTATGCTGAGTGCTTGACTCCATTGCAGCAGCTCTCAGGAAAAGGAATGGAAGCAGAACCTTCTGTACCACTCCTCCTCACTCATCCACAAAGTCATTTGCAGACGTCTATAACGGAGCACAGAAACCAAACCCAATTAATTGAAAAAATAATTGAAAAGCCATTAAAGTGGTTTGCAGAACCTTATAAATAAAAAGGAATGGAAAGAAATGGAAGCATGGCATTTGTAATTAATTTATGCAGTAAAAGTTTACATTTGATATTCCATACAGCTTTTAGATTAATTATGATGCCAACTATTTGGAGAAATGTACTGATTAGAAAGGGAAGAAGCAATAAATCTTGTTTTCCTCATAGGAAATATACCCATCTTGTTTGCAAACACAACAAGATTCTGTTTGCATTGAATTTTCTCCTTATTTGAAAGGGGTAAAGGGGTGCAAAAAACCCAAAAGGTCTTAAAAAAGAACCCCATCTAAGGTCTTAACTCACCTTTAAATGTGGGACCTCATTGAGAAATTTGTGAAACACCTGGTTTTATCTATATAGACAGGGAATAAGGAAGTAGGAGATCTTCAGTCACATCTGCCTTTTCAAAGTTCAGATGTGTTACGAATTAATCTGTGTTAAGAGAGGTGTGATTTACACGTATAGGTTAGCTGTTGGGATTAGATGCCTTAAAAGCCTTTTAGAGTTTGCATCTGAAAGGAACATTTTATGGCCTCAGCAGGCTTCCCTATATTAGGGAGCGACTAACCCTATTCCACTGGAGAAGGGAGGACAGGAACAATTCTAGGATGAGAAAAGACAGGGACTGAAATGTAAACCATTTTCCTGCATTGTCTCAATTCATTCCTCTCTTCTCTGCCTCAGCTTCCTCAGAGAGGCAGAAATGACAGCACTGCAAATACTTTGAATGGAAAGGCATTAGATTTAAAAGGAAAACAAAATCCCAGCAATTCCCAGGACACTCACCAGAGCATTCTGCTGCAAGGGTGTTTTCCAAGGAACAGGGGCACCAGGTAACAGCAGCACCTCAACAACCTCCTCATTCTTGCCTAGTGAATTACAGGGCACGTTAGAAAACAGAACTGTGCACTCACATGACCATATCATTTGAAAACCCATTCAGATTGCAAAGCCCAGATAAACACTCTTAGCTGAGACAGAAACATCATCAAAGTACCGACAGAAAGCAGAAATTCATCAAAACCTTCACGCAAGATGATACCCAGTTCAAAAAGGCTCCAGTGGATTAATACCACTGGGACAATCTTCCCGCGTCTAAACTGGACACATGTAAGTGATGGCAATTATGAAGAAGATTAGAGGCTGTATACTCCCAGCTTCTTGTCATGCTCCCAGTGCTTTATATCCACCTCAAGGCGTTTTTCCCCCCTCATACATTCAAACAGTTCAAAAGCATTTGTTTGGCATTTATTATGGTGCCAGCTGCTTATTCCTGGTGGTATCTAATAGGATTAGGGGGATGCAGAAAGTGGGGATGCACTGCTCCTGTAATCCTCTGGGAGATCAAATGTTATCTTTGCAACATTTTAAAGCCTTATTCCATTTTGCACCAATTTATAATGGAATGATCTCCCCTCTCCCTTCCTTCCCCGCCTCCTCCTGTGTTTGAAGAGCAGCATGTCACCTTGAGAAACGGCATGTGGGATCTAGATGAGAGAGGCGGGAGAGAAAAGCTTTCAGGATCAGATTTGTAGTCCTGTGGGAATCAAAAGCGTAAGTCTGAACAGCACAAGATTAACTGTAATCTCAGGTTTCAATGTAAGAAGTAATGCAACTGTATGCTCTTTACGTTCTTGTTAAAAGGAAAACTAGTTTTCTCCTTAGATAGTGACAAAAACATCAGCTGAGATTTATCATTTTATCTCGGAAGCAATTCCAAAGGTATCCGATACATTTGCAAGAATTCCGCTGTTAATGTAGCTACTTCCCTTTATAGGGAAGAAATAAGATAAGGGAATAAATAAAAAATAAATTAATTAATTAATATAAGAATAAATAGCTTCTAGCAAGTTGAATGGCAAGGGGGTTGGAACTAGATGATCTTAGGTCCTTTCCAACCCTAAGTATTCTACTATTCTATGAACAGTGAGATAATAAGAAGCCCCACTGCCTTCTAGTTAATGAGAAGCATACCTAGAAAGAGCCCATAGATCCATTTATACAAACTACTAAAGAAATAAAGGTACATTACCTAACAATCCTGTTACAGCCTTGTTGATGTTCCTGTGTCTGAATGTAATCTAAATGACAGCAGATATAAGATACTGTTCTAGGTAGGGACATGCTGCTATAACATATACCTGTGAAAGCCTTCATCCTTTGCAGAGTATTTGGAAACGAAGAAGGAGCAGGGAGAGGAATATTTAAAGAGACATAAAGGAAAGGGCATATGTGCTTCACAGGAGGCACTACTTACTTTAATTTTGCCTCAGCTGCTTCCAGGTACTAAGCAGGGTACATTTACTTAGGATAGTGGCCAGGCTTCAGCTGGCTTGCAGCATTGGCTTGCAGCATTGGCTTGCAGCTAAATAGGCTTGACCTACTGTGTGCAGGAGTCTCTTAACTACTCACACATGACGTAAGTTCGTGCTATCAGGAAGCAGTGTTATTCCCATGCTGCAGACAAGGGCCAAGAGCTCTTAAGTGAAACTAAACCTCAGGTGCTTGGTCAGAGTGGTTCCAGCTCCAGGTTGTGGTCAAGAAGGATTACCTCTTCACTCTCTAAGTCACTGAATCAGTTAATACCCACAGAGATTATTGTAAGAGAAAAAGAGCAGCTTTCAGTTGTATGGATTAGTTTGCATTTTAGCTTTAACTTCCTTAGACTTTTCTGAATCCTGGCTCTTCTACCCTTTCTTTCCTACCCAGTTCTATACCTTGTTTCACCTTTTCTTCCAAACGTGCGTTCTGCTGCATTTTAACTTCTCACTTTCCCAGTTATAATTTTGATCCACATGTAGGCAAATTTAATGGTCAAGAACAGCACTAGTGAAACATTAAAGCTGCTAGAATGAGCTGAACTATGCAAGCTGACAGTTAAGTAAGAAACCTGCCTTTTACCTATTTACTTCAGCAGCTCCCGTAGCAGATGCCTCAATTTGCCATCAGTAGGAAGACACTCAGCATCATTCTAAAGTCGAGATTCCCATCCATCCTCCTCCACTAATCTTTGGGAGCATTTGTCTTGAAAGAGTCATTCATCCCGAATCCATCTCACTCAGCCTCTCTATTATGCCATTTTATTAACATCTGCGATATGACTGAAGCATTCAGGGTTTCATTCATAACCTGTACAAAACCCAGCTACAGACATAGCTGATAAATGAAGCTCCAGGTTCTACATGAAATGTTATTACATAATACATCAGTTTTATGTCAGAGCTACTGATGTTTTTATGGCCTCTGTATTCAAAGTAATGTGCCTGTACTCACAGGGGCTTCATAATTTGAATAGCAAGCATCTTTTAGATTGACAAAGTCATTTATAAAACCTGCATCATGACTTAAGGCTAGTTATATAAATGAGACGTTTTTCTTGAAGTGAGAATTGCTGTTTCTTTCTGGTGATGCATGTGGTCTGCATGTTCTCCAGAGAAACTTCTAATCCCTAACAGTATCCCGAAAATAGCATTATGCTAACGAAGACCATTTTTACTTGCAATCCTACCCAAATATATTTGAGCAATGGCTTTTTGCATATGGACATATGTAGCTTAATGTCTTAAGCAATTCCTTTCTCATGCCGTAACCAGCATAAGATCCCACAAATTCTGAGGCACAGCACCTGCAACAGCTCTTTGGAGTCATGACAAAATGGGCATCCCATACTTTGGCCCCAGATAGTGTGAAAAGTGAAGGCTGAGATACAGCAAAGGGTCTGAGCCCTCTTGGTAGACCTGAGCAGCACTTTGTTGAGCTAAAGAAAACAAGTCAAATATTACTAAGCAGCTGCTGGTTTTGATCAAAACTATGTTTTTAAATGCCTCTTACATGCATCTCTCAGGTGTAAATTAAGGAAAATTGTACTGAAGAAATGGAGGTGACCAGTTGCAAGCAATGCCAGATTTGATGAATTAACTCAAACTCTCTTGTTATTCCAGTTTTTCCTACAGATCCCCTCTTCTGAATTTGTTGTTTCCTTTTTCTTTGCCAAAACCCTGATGATCTGAACAAAGGCACACCCAAGCAATGTTAATGCTGGACATCATGCTACGTTCTCTCTTGCTGTCCTTGTTACCCGGATGCAAAGGAAGTATGTCACGTAATTAAGGTTGTGTCTTGAAACTTCAGTGTGACAAAACTGTTTTGCAGTGCTACTCAGGTGTGGAAAACAGGGAAACTGGAAGAAAGTGCAGTCAGTTTAGCACTACAGACCCCTCAGCCCTAAGCTGTTTAACAATACATTGCTTCAAGTTTCACTATGACTCCACTGTCTTTTGTTAACCCTTTTATTCTAATGTGCCACAAAAATGTGGAAGGGATTTAGGACGGCTTTGGGAAAATGGTTGAAAAGACCCGAGTCCATCTCAAACCTTGAGTCCCAATCTCAAATGGGAATGTTTCCCATTGACTGCTGATGGTGAAAATCAGGGAACAAATTCCTGAGTCACCTTTTCCTTCTACTGAAGCAGGGAGGGTCTTACTGGCTCAGCACATTCCCCTCTGAGCCTGTTGCAATCTCTTGTTTGGTAATGGGAGGCAGGAGCTTCCCACAATTGAAACTTTTACTCTGTTCCCATTAAATACTATGTTCTGATCTCCTTTTATATCCCAAAAGAAGAAAGATGAGCTTTCAAAATGCTTAGAGTTGTTTCATTATCTAACAGAAACAGATGTTAAGATTTAAATAACTTCAAGTGGCCATTTAAAGATCTGCAAGGCATTTGGTCTTTTCATATCATTTAACTGCTATGTGACTCGGTCAATAGCTGTGAGAGAGTAGAAGCATTCCTAAATTAATGACAAAGTCACTAGGAGAAATCTAGGAGGTTGGTGGAGATAACCTAGCTACACTCTCTTCTGTTTAGTGTTTCATGGTGAGCACTTTCTAATGCAACGCTGTGTCACAGCATTTGCATTCTAGATTCTGGAGAGGGAACATCAGCTTCCATAAGCAGGTTCAGATGGCAGGGAGGTTGAAACTAGATGATCTTAAGGTCCTTTCCAACCCTATTCTATGATTCTGTTAGCGTGTTCCAGCTTTCAGAAATGTGTAAACATGAGATGGGGGAAAAGGTACCATTGAATAGCTTGGTAGCTTGCTTCTGAAGAAAACAAAGGTAACTAAAAGATACTTTAGCTTCGTGATTTCTCAAGAGATCACTTGAAAAGAGCTTAATAGGTATTGCCTATCATCATCTCTATGAACCCAGAACCTTTATTTAGTACAGGGAGAGAACACAAAGGACTTACCTATTATCAGCTTATTTTTAGCTCTGTCTCTGGCACTTTGCAACCACAGATAAACACAGTCTCTCCTCCAGTGTGTTTTCTGCCCTCAGGGAAAGGAAGCTGCTGAGTGGACAAAGCAGTAAATTATAACAGTGACAAGATTTTACATAAACGTTATAGTAGTTGTGCATGTAAACAGCTGAGCTGCTCTGGGAGCCTGACACTGAGAACTGGAATGGAAAGAAATGCATACGTGTGTATACATGCTTATGCATGTATATGTATACACCTATGCACATGTACATATGCAAATGTATATCAGCAATGTTTGGCACGCAATGTAAAACGGATGGTCCTTACCTACAGCATCTAGTTTTTGAAACAGCACTCCTCTGTCTGGCATCCCAGAAAATTTAACATCCTTACCTAAACTGTAATAACTTAGTTCCGAGAAAATCTACCTCCAAATCCTTTAAGGTATACCTTTACCACTGCAAGAATAAAGTAATGCGTTAAATAACTTAATGCTTCCTTTGTGTTCTTCCCAGCTTCAAAGAAAATCTCCATCTGCTAGATCACGTTCACAGCCCTCAAGGGATTCCTCGGTATATGTGGACATGGATATTAGAAGGCTGAGTACCAACTGTGAAAGATGAATGACCCTGAACAAAATTTAACAACCAAAGTTCTCCTCCTCATCTTCCTGTGTGTTGCTAGGAAAGTTATAACTGCAGATGTAGTGCATTTCATCTTGAAAACCCTACTGATTTAGCACTGCATACAAGTAGCACAAAGCCTCACTTGTGGCTTTTTCCTTGCCAGCCTTAGAGTTGGATTTTGTATAGCAACTTGCAAGCCAGGCTCAGAGCCAACAGGGTACCTCAGTTTCCTGGAATTAAGGCAATCCCCGGGTCTTATGGATGTAAAGGGACTAGTTATTTTATTGCAAATGTCAACCTCCTTCAAAGTTTTCTGTAGATTTCAGGGTGGTTTCTGTTCTTTGGCCTCAACAAAAAAAAACCCTGCCTTTCCTTTCTCTAATGGGAATTATCTTAACAAGTCATCATCAGCTCTTTTTATCAGTCAAAATAATGGAATCCCAAGCTGAACCGGTGCAGGTACTGTCTGCACGCTGCACTGATCACCCAGCTGATCCAGTGGGCACTTCTCACAGCAGCGTGTTTCTTTAGACCTACCATTCAGGTCAAGTACTAGCTGGATGTTTGATTTCAGTATGCCTCCATCCATGAACACTTGTGATTAGACGCTATGGTTCTTTCCCATTTGGTTCAAACAATAGGTAGTACCTCTGGAAGGTGTTGCTGCTCTTAAAGAGAGCTAAGAGCCCAAAATTATGGACCAACCTCATAGCTCCTTGCAGGACAATCCATCATTATGCAATAGTCATTGAACACTGCAAATCACTGTTTTATTCTTTCCCCTCCTGCTAAAATAAGGAGTTGTTATTCACTAGCACCAGAAACAACTACCAGCTCGTATAATTCCTGTTTGTTCCTATTAGCCAGCTTTTGGTAAAAGGGGGCAGGAATTTGCATACTTACATGGATTCGAGAGAGCCACCCTGCATACTTTATGCTATGGACTGTATTCTATGCTGTTGTCTTCCACACACGTTTACTGCTGGATGTCACAGGGCAATGCCTGTTTCTCAGTGACTTGACTGGGAGCCATGACAGCCTAAACACACGACACAACGCCTAGTATGGAAACAGCTAATAGACCAAGAGACAGGCAATTCTTATGGATCTCTTTCATGTCTACCCCTACAATGAAACAGGATTTATGTCTCCCTTGTAAATATAAGGATTTGAAGTTAACACGTACAACAATATTGGGTTGCTAGCATGAGCAACCTATTAAAAAGATAGCTTCGCATGGAACTGCATTTTACTCTACATGGTAAAACACTGAAACAGGTTGCCCAGAGATGCCCCATGCCTGGAAACATTCAAGGTGAGGTTGGACAGGGCTCTGAGCAACCTCATCTAGTTAAAGATGCAGGGGTGTTGAACTAGATGACCTTTAAAGGTTCCTTCCAACCCAAACCATTCTATGATTTAGAGGATAAAGAGGAAGAAAAGAAGACACAGGAAGAAAGGAGTTGTCTTCCCTACTTAAATTTTCCTGTTACAACAGAGATATTTCTTGCAAAGCAGAAAGGGAGCAGATTAGGTAAACCAAACATTTCCTTCAGTCAGACAATTTCCAACCTTTGTCACTGCTTGGGTAACAGATTCTTACAATAGCCAGGATGTACATAGTACTGTCATTCTTACACCGGATTTTGGTATTCGTGTGATCTGTACACATGTCCCTCCACTGCCTTCTTTTCCATGTATGTTTAGGCTTCAGACAAACTCTGGAAGCAAACCCAAGCATTTTCCAAATGCAACTCCCTTTCAAGATTTCAAGTTGATGGGAAAAGCAGGTTTACGCTTTGTGCTCCCTCTTATGGTAGCACAGTAATGAACTAAGTGCTAGAGCCAAGAACAGCAGAGCTGGAACTGTAGCTGCAAGGATATAGAGTCCTGGGTTGCCAGCACTGACCAAATGATGAGAGCTCATAAAGGCTGAATGAAATGGAAATTATAATACCTGCCATAAGATGTGGCATTTCAAAGGTTCACATCCCACCTTTCTGGGTTCAGAACAGCTTACTGAAGGGGACATTCATTTGCCCTGCTATGCTCTGCTCAAGCCATCCAGGTGAAGGGCATCCTGTCACCAGCCCTCTTGGAGCCTGCTCTGTTCACTACAAGCCAGTTTACTTCTTCGCTATAAATCATCGATCCAAATGGAAGTGTGGGTGAAGGAGGAAAAGCAGGATTCACATACTGTTCTCACAACTCTCAGGAGGAAAGGACTTTTGAATTGGGTCCCTTTTTTAGTCTAGAATTGCCATGGTAACCCTTCTTTGTATGGATGTCGCTGGTATCTATCTCCTCCAGTAGTTTATACACCCACCAAACAACTCTGTAAGTCTTTTGTGTGGCTCCTGGTTAATGAGTTCAAGCTTGCTTTACTTGGAGCTCTTACAGTTGCTTTCTTCCTGACCCTCAAAAGGGAGCCGATTTCTCGCTCTCTTCCCCAACCTGAATTACTCTTAGGAATTCAGAGGAGAACAACTAAGGTGCAAGATACTGGCTGAAAATTACTAACATGGGGCTGAAATCAATAGAAATCATGCTGCCAAGACCCCCAAGGAGGCAATTAGTTTTCCAGGACACCGTATCTCCAGCCACACACAGCTTTTGCTGTCAGGACTGCTCAGGTACAGCTATGAGGAGCCTGCACAGTGTGGCTAGCTAGCCTTTAATTTCTGCAGGAAGCTTAAATACAGGTTTTAGCCTCACTGATTTCTGACAGAGCTGAAATAGGGGATAGGAGTAGAGGGCAGAATTGAGATTTGAAGAGGGTATGGTGAATTGTATCGGCTTGAATTGCAAAGGTTTAAATGGCCTTATCATCCAGCCAGGCCACTGATATGAAGAAACTAGGATATTCGCTAGGTAGCAGCGCTGATAACAAAGGTTGAGTATTATGAAATGACCTTTTCTTGTACCTTTGGCATTTATCTTCTTCACCATTATCCGAGTCCTCTAAATTGCCTGTGTTCAGCACTTGTGAGGCACAGAATCTGGCCTTGCAAATGCCTCTGTGATTTCCGAGACACCGTTCTCACCCACTGACTGCCCCAGAGCTGCTCCCTGGAAGCTGGGCACATCACTTAATGCCCCAATAAAAGCGTTTTCCTCCAGCATGCTCTCTGGCTTGTAGGCAAGTATTACCATGCAGAAGCAGGCAGCGTTTTGAACAGTGTGGAGGGAGCAGAGACCAGTTCACTGAAGCCTTCAGCAAGTCACTTAACATCTCAACAGGGGTTAACCAGTTACAGTACCTGCTAGCTGCCTCCTGTAAGTAAGGGATGGAAATGTTCCAGCTCCTGGAGAGCTTGCCTGAACCTGCTCAAAGCACCAACAGAAGATGTCCCTTTTCTTCCTCCACCTGCCTTCTTTTCCTCATGAATTCACCACACTTCTCTTTTCTTATAACTCCTCACATCTCATTTCAACAGTGATCCAAATCCTTCTTTCCTTTCACTTTTGGGTCCTCTTTTTTATGGACATGTTCCCCTTTGACCCAGGTAACTTCAGTGCTGTTCATTGTTTGAGTATACATCTTTTGTTGCCTTAATAACTGCTCCTTGCCATGTATTTTTCCTCTTCCCTTACATTACATTCTCTAATCATCTGCACTAAACTGAACCCAGCAGATTGTTCTGTTTCGATAAAACAAGGTTTGTAAGAAGAAAACCCTTCTTACTAAATCAACTGATTCATGGAGTGGAAAAACGTACTCCGAGCTGGTAGCACTTTGCTATCCAGAAGATCACTCTGGGGGTTTTGCCCCAACTGGAATAACCAGTCTAAAATTCTCTCTCTCTTGTTTGCATTCAGACTTCATTCAATCTGTCCGTATCCATTAGAAGTCACAGAAACTTAGTGAGATGGAGCTTTAAATACGTAACTGCAGCAGTTGCCAGATCTATAGCTTAGGAATTGACCGGCTGCTGGCTGGCAAAGGGTGGTCCAAGGAATTAATTGTACCCTCTAGATTCCAGTGCATAAGCTGTGTACGTGGCAGATGGACTTCTACAGTAGGAAAGGATGCTGCAAGGTGCATAAAGCTGGGGCAGGGAGGGAAGGGCCATCAAAGATGAAACAAAAAATAGATGCTCCTATAAACTTCCGTGTAACACAAAGCCTCCTGAACTTGGGCTTCATTTACCAATGGAATACCATCGTGTACAAACTTATTTTCCCATTAGTGACCTCTGGAACGTCTCCGCACTAAGTGGTGCTGGAGTACAACAAAAAGGGCAGCCTTCTGCTTCTGTAAAAGATGAAGTAAGGTCATGCTCCTTCTTCCATATATCATCAAGCAGTAACAGAATAGAGATAGGACACCAGATGAGGCCCAGGAATCTGTGGAGGTCTCATTGTTCCCATCAGAGGTCACTGAAGGCAAAGCTAAATTAACTAATGTAGGGACTCTACTTTGTGCCCATCCTGGCACTGAACCAGAGGTTCTGATGAAGGAGAACCAGTCAGCGGTGAGGACACAAGATTGAAAAGGCAGGCAGTCCTCCATAGCAGAGGAGTCAGATCAGGCTGACCGAGATGCAGAGAGGCAGTGAGTGAAGGGTACTCTAGAAACACTTTCCTCACTTCAGGATGAAGCCAGATTTCTAAGGTCAAGGCAGTGCAGTGTGCCTGGGAGCTGGCAGCAAAAAGGACCCTCATGACCCACTCCCACACACAGCAAACTGTGTCACTGGGAAGTCCCTGAAGTTTGTGGCGTGTTTCCAGCATGGAGCACATAAAGCTGCCAGATGAGGTTGTCACAAATCAGTCAGCTTTCAGCTGGGAGACTGAAGGGAGCTGGCACACATGGCAAGAGACCACGTCTGCGGAAGCTCAACGTATTTTTCTAAGCTAATACTGAAACTGTCACAACACTAAGGGTTAGGGGGGCAGCTAATATATTCAGCAGACATATCTACGTGTATCGAGGGTACCAGATAGGCCTGGTTTTTGCTGGGATTGCTGATGGATGGGACAGACCACGTACAGATAAAACATGCCGTCTTCTCTATCAGCACCATTAGCAAGGGGAGTCAATAGTTAACATACCTTGACAACCAAAACCCAGCTAAAGCTTGCATTCAGCCACCAGCATCTTGACTAAGAAGGAAAATGAAGAAAAGGCTTTGTAGACAAAGAGCTCGTTTTCTTCTGCATCAGTAGATGGTGCTGTTTATATTCTAGCACAGGTTACTTCTGAGAAAGTGCTTCTGTGCCCGGCGGTGAAAGCTCTAAGTGCTTTCCCTACACCCTCCTTTCCATCTCCTTAAATTGACAGACCTTTTTCCCTCTAAAGTGGCTGGACAATAATCATATTAGCACTCAATGGGTTCAACCATGAACTTTAGATGGGTCTGTCACGGTAAATAACCAAAGGAGTCAGAGAACACACAGGATTTCTGTGCCACTCTGGAAGGCACCACTCAGTAAATGCTAATGTGATCTTCCCTTTCTAAGTGCCCCTGAATGCATCTCGCCACGGTTCTGTCCATAGCAGGACTGTGCTGAGCAGCAGATGACACCCACCGGACAAAGCCCAAACACAGTGCGTGTGAGCGCGCAGTGTTTAGAACCAGCATAAAGATTTGACGCATTGGAGACACATCAAAACCACCCTGAATGCTTTCGTTACACCACTTACTCCCATTAGGCTACCAGAACCTCAAACACCCTAAACTGTCACATTCAGATCAAATTGGCAAGGGCAGAATGAGGGAGGACACGTCCTGCAAACCCCACATGAATACCAGCCCCTTTTCTGATTGCCCAGAACAGAGGCAGCCGTGATCCAGCCGGTAGTAAAACCAGCTGTCCACAGGCAGGCACAGATGCCCTTGTCCTCTGGAAATGCAGCATCTGGGTGTTTGTTCCAGTCTCCTCCCTGAAACTCAGGGAGGTTGTGGAATATCACGCAGTCTGTAAATAGCCTCAGAGGCATGACGAAACAGAATCAATTTCTGGGATAATAGGAGGAAAATAAGCCCAAATATACACACATAGATCAAGGAAGTTGGCAGCTTACATAAAAGCACTATAAATGATGCAGAGCTGTGCAGGACTCTGTCCTTTCCCATTTGCCTTGTAAGATTATAGCCTTCCACACTGGCATTTATTTTTCTCATGGCTTCCTATTGAGTCTGGCACTAGAAGTTGCTCTAAAGACAATGTATTGTAAGAAATGACCTGGAATTAACCTATACCACAAGATGCATTCAGCCCATGACAACAATGGTAAGACCACAGATCACAAAGAGTGGCACTGACACCACTGAGGTAGCAATACAGTGCAGTGCTTGTCAATCAGCTTTCCCAACAGGGGGTAAAAAAGCAACCAGCTAAACCAACACCAACCCAAAATATACCCCCAAAACCCAAGGAGGTATCTGTTCCGTTTGCTGCTGCCTTAATTTCATGCAAACCTGGTCAGGGTTGTTATTCTTCAGAGGCCTGAGATTGAGTCCATCTCTGGCAGTGAAGGAAACCCACAATGAACCACATGGAGAAAACTAAGTCTTCCTCAAGAATCAGCTCCTCCACAGATGCCCTGTGCCCTTGGCAGGAGGTAGGGTATTTCCTCAGAGCAGCTGAGAAGCAAATAACTGGGATATGAGTCTCTTTCCCAAGTGGCAAGATTCAACACGTCCACAGATTCTTCCACATAAACGGATAAGGTTTATATGTCCAGTACAGGTTTCCAGTGCTGCCCCTGCCCTGGCACAGTCCTTCCATATGGACTCAGTTTTGCTCTTGCAGTGGGCCTCACAAAGGTTTCAAGGACATGTTAGCACCACCATCCAAGGGTCAGTGCCTCCGGCTACTTTAAAGAAGCATCATGGGCACCTTTGTTAACTGTCCTTTACTGAAATGATTCCAGTTCTCCTCTGGGTCTTTCTCCCACCTCTGTCTCTTTATTCCTTACCTCTTCCTCGTCTCAAATCTCACCTCTCTTTTCCCCCGCAGTATTACGCAAAGACCCATGCTCCTATTCAATCTTGGATGCAATGGGTTCATCATTAAACTCAAGAATCCATAACCAGAGGAATTGCCTGAGAGCAAAGGAATTAAGCTCAAAGTGCTGCACAGACACTCAGGAACTGCCTGCCCCAGCCTGCATTTTCACGATCTCTTTCTGAGCTAGAACATTCACCTTGAGAAAGCACTGACTATAGCACACAGATAAATATGGTTTGGCACTCAGTGCACTCTGCTTTTTCCTTCGTCATTCTAACGAAGCACCACAAACCACAGTTCTTTACTCCCGACAGAAGCCATGCACCTGATAGCCCAGAAAATCCTTTCCTGTACCTGAAGCATCTGTCTCAGAACTGCCATCCTGCTGTGGTATCTTGACCTGACATTTACTGTACATACATATTGGTTTGTTTTCACTCCATGCTTTCCTCTCTCAATTTAAGCTACCCTTTGAACAGGGATGGGAGGAGGAAATGGAAACAAAGGAGGATAAGACAATAAACTGTCATTGGCAAAAGACTCCAGCTCCTGCTGAGGGACTGGGTCTGGTTCTGTGCTTAAAGGAAGAAAGATGAGAATAGAACAGAGCTGGCCTGAAAGGAAGAAGCTTGAAAAGCTCTCCAAATTAACACAGTTGTCTGCTGGAAGGGTCTGAAGTTCTGGCTGCTCAGCTTATCATAAGAAAGTCTTCACACAGGACAGATGGATGTGTTGAGCATTGTAAAATCCTCTAAATAAACCTTAGTTTGGGTTAAGGTAGCAGAAGATGCTCGCCATAAATCACAGACATCTGACATAAAGCAGCAGTTCTTGATCCCACTTTTGGATAACAAACATCTTCATCTCTGAGCTACAGCAAGGCGGCTGCCCATTAACTGCTGACCTCAGTGTGCTGGGGAGGGGAGGGAGGGATGTGGCTGATCCGTACAAAGTAACCCTGCAGTACAGTAATACAGCATCTCTCTGGCCGCTGAAGAAGCTGGTTTGCTTTATGAAGTGCTGATTGTGTGGATACATCCAACTACTTGGCCAGCATTTTTTAAGTTTTGAAGATCTGCATGCCCTCCCCTCTGGCTCCTAATAGGAGACATCAGTGACATGCTGCTGAAGGCTTATGCATGCAAACAAGCTTCTTGTTCTCCTCTTAGCACTGTCAGGTCTCTCATATGGGGTAAGAAGCTTGCCCAATTGTGGCCCATCCCACGCTTCCTCATCATTAGAGCTTTACCTTGTGAATCAGTGCAACAGAAGCACTCCAGCCCTTCGCTGCAGCTAGGGAGGCAGGTCAGGAAGGAGTGCTCAAAACGTAGCCTGCCCACAGCAAGCTACGAACTGTGCAGCTCAGGGCAGGAATCCCTCACCCCCTTCAGGACCAGGATGGTCAAAGCAGTAGATGTCACATTGGGAAAGCAGAGATAAAGGATGTACTGTAAGTACTCTAGCCACGCATTAGTGAAACTCCTTATACTAGTGCTCTGCTTCCCTCCTTTACTTCTCCAGACTTAAAATTTAACCACCTAAATCATCAATACAGCATATTTAAAAGCACTGGCTTCAAAGTGAGAAATACGGGTAGTATTTCAAGGTTACTTTGTCAGGCTCTCTACAACCACAGGGAAACATTATTCAGTTGATATGTAAGCGTTGTTAAAAGCCTCCTAGGTAGGGTGGAAACTCCCTCACTCCAGGAATTTTAGAAGTACTAGTATAACACCCTTCCTGAAATCCTGGACACATTTAACTTTAAATACCTTAAATATCCAGATTTGTATTGCAATAAATGAGATGTGAATTAGTGCTTTCAGCAAGTCATTGCAGGTCTGAACTTGCAAATATAGAACTGTTCAGGAGAAAAGCAGAGCCAAGACTGAATATGCATCCTAGATTTGTCTGCACAAAGAAGAAAACGTTACTCCAGTGTATGGAGGAAATCATGTTTCTTCTCTACTCGGGAGAAGCCAGCCTGCATTCCTCATTCAGTGATATCCTTCCATCATGGCTTTAAACAATCTCACAGAGCTGCTGCTGGGTAAGAGGTGTATTCTGTATCCGAACTGCCTGCAATTTGATGTAGGATCATGCTGTATATGCATGCACAACATTTATGGATTCCACTTGATAAAGTGTTCTGATATGTTTCAAGGATAGACAGTCCAGTAAGAAGTCTTTTATATCAAGCTTTAAAAAGCTCTTCAGTACAGATTCATTTCTGTATGCCTTGTCTCTGGATTTCAGCATTGCCTAAGCTGAATGGATGGGCACATTGAAATATGACTG